TTAATTTACTTTTCGCACAAATATTTTTTAACTTGAAAATGGTGCCAGGATGACACCGAAACGTCGTTGCTCAGTTTTTTCGCTAATCTTTATCGTTAATAGATACATAAGTGGAAAATTTAACAGGCACCAGATTAAGGTCATGCCATGCTGTCAAGTGTCATAGGAATTACAAACTAATTACTATTGGTAATAATTTAGAACTATTTTCCACATACCGGCATTAATGATGCATGCACTCCCACCAAGAATGGCATTGGTGCACTATCATGACAATAAAACAGATATTTCATTATGCAACAGTTAAGCTGGACATCAAACACCTAACCACCCTCCTTTCCCTCAAAAAATTGACCCCCAAAAATAATTCAACTGAATACAAAAGGCAAAGATCCTTCTAACAATAAAACCCTCAGAAATAAATCCATTAGATTTATTATTCTGGAATTTTTGTTTCATATTGCTTTGCTCTTCAAGGGTCTAGACTTGGTCAGATTACAGATAATCTCTTCCCAAAAAATTATTACAATGATAAACTAATGATGTAAACTTGTGTGAATGTCAAGATCGATCAGCAGTAGTTTCGCTTACCAGCAGTAGTCTAAGAGGTGTGGAGGCACAATGGGAACAAACATGTGTTGCCTGGAAATCACAAACAAAAACAAGTCAATATCAGTAGCATCTGTAAATACTGCAAATAATGAAATCATTTAATATTCATTTCCTAAGGCATGCATGCATGCATACGTTTTGCTGTGAACTTGAAGAACTTGAAACTACATGTAGAAAAATGCAATTGCAAGTCTGTTGCAAAAACTATTGCAAATCCTGTTTCTAATTAACACACAATTTTTGCTACATTTTCATCTCATACTGACAGTACAACTCAAATAAATAATTCAATAAAGTGAAAGACTTCAGTTTAGAACTGAAAAGATCCTCAGAACTTACCAATACATTGGATACAACAGAGATGCCGCACCATATGTACAAGCAGTCAGCTAAAACAAAAAAAATATTTCAATAGCATAACACCTACAATCAACGTTCTCCTTTGCTATTCCACAAATCAAGATGAGTACCAACAAATTCCTGCATGTAAAACAGTGCAAGTGCTCTCAATTAATTTGACTTTACTTCCATGCTACAAGTATACTTACTAAATTTAGCTTCTTGGATGTCACGATTATTCGCCTCTCAAAGAACATACTGAAAAATGGAATGCCGCAAAGCACTATTAATATTATGCTAAGTTTAATTGCCACTCTTGCAATATACAGTAGTCCAATACATTATGATAATAAAACCTCTTTGGCGATGAAATTAAGATGAATCCTTAGAGTTAACTTTTTTGACCCACAGGTGGCATTGAGCTTTGTAAACACCCCGAGAAACAGGTTTATATGTACATAAAACAATAAATTATTACAAAAATGTTATATGACTCTACAGTACCAGCCAAACGTAAGTTGACAGTCTCAACTTGAAACTTGATAATCAATCCCTGAGAACTGAGAATTGAGTTTTGAATCACAAGTTTTGAGTCTCAAGTCTTGAGTTTCAAGTCTTAAGTTTCTAGGGGACACCAGTGAATAGGAAACAAGTTATTTCTCAAATACATAACAATAGCAATCACAAATAAATGAGAAGATAAGTGCTTTGTTTTCTTGACTCAAAACTTGAACACCTCAACTCAAAACTCAAACAAATTGACTCAAAACGCAGTTTTGGCGTTTCAAGGATCGGGCATTGAGTCAGGTCATTTGAATTTGGAGCAAATGTCAACTTAAATTTAAGTAGTACTGTACATGCATGAATGGTACATTACGAGGCATAATAAATAATCTTACCTGGCAAAAATACAAATCATGTTAGATGGCTCCACAGCAGCAAAGTAATCAGTTAAGTTCCTCTGCATAACAGAAAAAAATCATTTCTTTAAGAAAATAATTTCCCATTTTATTACCGGTAAAAATGCTTTTCAATATTAGTTGACTTAATATCTGACTTTCATTCAGGACATTTAAAACCCTACATTACATTAATTCCTGGAAACTTAATGGTTGGAAAATGATCAATATATCTAGAGAGAATTATATTTTCTTAGGGGGAAACTGTTTCAAAAATATGTTAATTTAAGATAAATTTAGTGGTTGAGAGTTTTAAATTCCAACAACTGCATAGTCAAGTCTCTTTGTTGCATGTAACTGTTACAATACAAGGAATGAAGGATTTAATATTTACTTACATCATCTGGTATGCTTGGCAGCTTAGTATTGTCTGGTACAACAAAGGAAAAGTCCTAAATATGTAACAAAAACACCATAAGATACATGTATATCTACACGTATTTGCTGCTTCGTCATCAGTGCTAGATAAAGCAGCACACCTACAAAGTTACCAGCTAGTCCTGTGGCTACTGATTCAAGCTTTCAGCCTCATTACAAGGTGTACATGTAGTTTGAGGTACGAATATACAGTAGTCTTCAGGGCTGCCATTAAGTTTTAAGTCACCCGTAGCCTCGTTCTCCACACTTGTAGCGAACTTGTTACTTTGCGGTTGAATCCTATCAACAACAAGCAATTTCACCCATAGAATCAAGGGAAAATGAAGCATACTCAGCCGTAACAGGTTGACAGCCCTGGTGTTGTTTGATTGTGTAAGGATAACAGATTTCCCTGTCAGGCTGGAGAATTTTATTCAAAGGCATGTATCCATCATTTGCCAGATTTAAGTATGTAATTAATATTTCAGTTGACAGTAAGGCCAATGAGAAGAGGACTTTCAAAGGGTAATATACAATGGCTCTGTTACGTGCTAAAGAGCAACTGGAAAGAGATTTTCTTTGGAGCCTGACTTGGATAAACACTTACTCTTTTACTATCCCCTGTGATGGCTAAGGGAGAACCTGGTGTTGGAGGTGACTGGCTTAAGAGCTGATTCAGTATAGGAAGAATTGAATTAACCTACAAACACAAACAGAAATGTTTCTTGTCAGCACATTCACAGCAACAACAGTCTCAGCTTTAGTGGAGGAGGGGAATCTGGCCTAGGTAATAACTTTTTGATGGTACCAGTTCCTTTGTAAAAGACATAGAGACATCCATTCCAGTCACAGACATTGAAGGACCTCACAGGTTTCTGCTGCATTAAGCAATTACATTGTAGGAGTACTTTTACCTCCTCCCCCACCCCACCCACAATGGGATGCTAGTTCATTGCAATTCTACCCAGCAGCAAGAAATTTGCATAGTGCACAAAGAAATTCACGTATGATAGTTCTAAAGGTGTTTTGCAGTTGGTTCAAGGCAACTTTTTTTTTTTGGAAAAATCTTTTTGGAAGTTCAACATACAGAAGTACTGCAAAACATTAAGTAAGAATTTTATTTTTCAAGCCTGAAAACTGGTTTTCTTTGCACCCTGAACACTGTGAACAAAGTAGTTTACTGTAAGTGTCTTATCCAAGAACACAACGCAATCATCCCACTCGATTATGACCATGCACCAATCCATACAGCTCTTATTGAAACACTCCCTACATTAGAGACACCTCACAAAAAGGCCAGTTAATTCTGCTACAGGTTTGCCTCTGCACCTTTTGTCGTCTACATGTAACTTATCTGGAGCAAATACAAACTGGATAGACTATATCTGATATGCAAATAATGAGCTCATACATGTATCTAATATAAGATTATTTACCTCATTTGCTCTCTTCAAATCTGCAATCCTGTTCAAAAGCTCATAAAAGATCTTAAACCATGGCAAATAGCTGAAACAAGTATAGGATGGCAATCAAGTTGATTACTTACTAAATACTAAGATGTTTACAACCCACATAGCATGAGACTAACATGAAAGAAAAACCATTGTTATCAAAACCTGAAAATACTGAAAATATATATGAGATGACTGATCTGGAGCATTCAGAGAAACATTAGTGGACTGTACAGAAAATGTAAATGTCGTCCTAAAATTGTCAAACTAGTTTTTTTTTTTTTTTTTTTTTTTTTTTAAAAAAGAGAGAGAGAAAGAAAGAAAAAGACAAAGATCTCAGGAAACAGATAGAAAATGTCAGAAATTATTAAAACAAGCAGTTGTATAAGTACAATGTATCATATTTACCTTAGAATGCAGAGACAAGTCTTTACTTCAGGAGAATAACGACAAAACCCAAATCTATATTTGCCTTCTATATCAGTAAGAACAAATGTGTAGTGTTGAACAGCTTCCCTGTGGAAAAAAAAATCAATTCAACTTGTATTTACAAAAAAACGCAAAATTAAACAAAGGTGAAGTGTGGTCATCTACTAACAAGCAGTATATACATTTACAATGAATTATCAATTAACATGCAAAGTGTACTTACGAGCTTGAGACACAGGGATAACAAAACTGAGGAATTGCCTTCAGTGCTTCCTGAAGGATTAAAACAAATTAATTTTTATTAACTAAACAAACCTTTCTTTATATGCCTGCTATACTAAGAAACTCACAGTGCCCACTACAATTTGCAGGCCAGGGTCATCAACCTAAAGAAGGACAAGGTTAACCTTTCAACCATGCATGCTTTAAGTTCATAAATGAAATGGGGACATTCAAACTTTCTATGGGATATTAGATGGCACTCTCCTAGGGGGAGGGGGTCTGGGAGAGAACATAAGGAAGGACAGAAGACTGTTTCTACTGTCTTGAGTGCAAACTTATTTGGAGATCTCCAGTCTCAGTCTAGGATCTAGGCTTTCTGCTAATCTAAGATTTTACCTTAGTTTAACTATTTAAACAGTGATCATCCTCAAGATACTTGGACACTCAGTACGATAAAATCCTGCCTTAAAAAGACACATTATAATTATAATTATACACAAGAATAAAGCAAAACAATCGTACCATGGATAGAGATATACACCCTCTGCAGAAAGACTATGGGATAGCCTCTAATAACTGGGCTAATAATGGAAAATGCATTCTGGATCATTCTAAATTCAATTCACATTAGACACCTACTTTTTCATCAAAGTCTGTAGGATGAATAAACTTTGTTTCTGGACCTGTAAAAAAATATCAGACGTCAAACGACATCAGTTTTTTGCATAATTCCTGAGAATAAGTCCTTCACCAATCAGAACTAAATACTGGGTTTCTACTGACTAAAGAGAAGGCACTTGTCATTTACAGGTAGCTCACTAAGATAAATTAAATAAAGATCTATTCCACAACTGGAGATAAGCATTTTCACATTTACCACAAACATCTATTTTCCTTCAAATGCAAATCAAAAGGCAGGTATTTTAACACCTACCTTTCAAATGAAACTGCATGCATAAATTACCAGGAAATGAATGTATAGTTTACATTTATGTACTTCAAGTATAATGCATAGGCTTGGCTCTGATTCCACCTAATGTTGTATATGTTTTGTAGTGGACTAGTTTAATATTATGGAAGGAAACATTTTATAGAATGATTTAACTGGTCATCTCTACAATGACAAGGGCTCAGTCATATTCTGTCATCGATAATTAGTGCATTAAATTTGTCTTTGCAATGCTTTAACTTAAAAGAGGGGGGCATTTTGGACAAAATTCAGTCCCTGAAGACAGTAAAACTATTGTTATAAATTATTATGAAAGCAACGAGGAATTCGGAAAAAGGAAAACAGAGACACATATTAAGTATAAACAAAGCAGTTTTTCAGAACCTCACTAGATATATTTTTTTCAATTAACGGCACATAACCACATCACGAAACATTATCGTTGTAATTTTGTAACTAATGCAAGCCAGTGAGCAAGCAAGTGAAGAGAAACATAATACGACATGAGGAAACCAAGCAAGAATTTGGAAAGTCCCATCATGTGAAATCATGCATTGAGCAATCCAAAAAATATAAACATGAGATCGTGATAAGAGGAAGCAGGGTTTACCCAAGCTTATAATATTTTAACCCAATTTGCTTATGTACATCATTGTACACTGGATGGTGTTTTGTGTTTCCATTCAAATACCCGAAACAAGTAAACCTAACATGTGATGTCACGTACTTGAAAGCTTTTAAAAAAGTTATTGGTGTTAATGCCTCGGAAGTACAGCTAAATTTATGTATGCACTTTTCAAAATTCTTTAGGTACGGTTACTTAAACACTTCAGATAGACTGAGCAAAGAGTTATTGCAAAAGTTAAACAGAGTGAAGGTCATAAAGGACAACAAAGGTCATGCATAAGAACGTAAATCCAAATTTCTATTTAAAATCACGCTTAAGCTACCAAAGATAAGCTAATTTCCTTCCAAATGATCAACGTTATATGGGCTTTTACACGTCTTCTTCGACAAGCTAAGTAACAGATAATAACAAATGAAAGGGCCATTTAAAGTATGGAGTCCGTTACATTTGATTTGCCGCACAGAATCGAACTCTTGTAGGTTCAAAATTGAAATGTGTACACTACCTACCCTCACAATCTGTCGGGGAAGCGACTTCCAAAAAGCACTCAAAAATTCTCTCAGGAGAGGGCCTGAATACAAAAAACCATCAATCATAATCAAGAAATTTTCCTTTAGCACATGAAGCAAATTCATACCTTAACCTAGAGCCCATTTCGTGTACAAAATCCAAAGTCAAAAAGTGAACTTCATATCATTCAACCGGCCGCCATGATTGTGTATGTGCCACTTCCGATCGGATTGCGCTTGCGTCATTCTGGCCGGGGAGAGGAAGTGGGAGGTAACGGAAGGGGCACCTGAACGGGGTCACTATTATTTGTGCCTCCTCGATTAGCTAACAATTGAATTTTTGAGCATTGCGTGTTGAATTGCATTTGCACGCCTCGAAAAAATTGAGCATGGAGAAAAGCAAAGATTAGGAATGAAATTAACAGGCTCGCCTATAGTTCACTTTCTAAGACATTGGCGCTGTAGTGTTTCGACATCAATAACGGCATCACTGACTCAGCAACGACCTTTGACCGAGATGGTTTATTTCTCAGAAGTTTCTTTGATTTAACTTAAGTCTAAATGTTAGGTATAGGTAAATTTTCGATTTATTTTTCCATCTGAAAGGTGACAGGCTCGTACTTTGTGGCGTAGCTGTATAACTGATTCTTTTCAACAAACTTTAAGGCCACGTATCACTTTAATAGCTGTAAGACGTCTGCGTACAAACGTGAGGAAACTTAAGGACAACACTGTCCCCTCACAATGAATTAGTTAGAATGCATACCTGAAGAATTCATATATTTGTTTCCCTTTTCAACTGACCCATAACTGCAGTCCTTTTTAGGTGAAATGTAGATAAACAGGCATCCACGGATGGTGAAGAAATTTATGTTATGCAGGTAAACGACACCTCGCCTGAAATACCACACAAAATTCGATATGGGTTCTTTTTGATTGATGCTCATGTTAGCCACGGAACTAATTCATAAAAACAGCCAATATATACACAGTAACAACAAGGAATTAACGTGTTATTCGGTTCACCCTCCGCCTCCGCTTCCCTCCCCCCACCTCCCCCGGTCCCCCACCCACGCGACTCTCGGCCTCTCAGCCTTTCAGTTCTATGAGCGCTCTTATCTGAAACTTATTAGGCAAAAGTCCTTACGTTAAATGTTGCCGAGCTCAAATGTGAGATAAAAGATAGTTAGGGCGGCGGTTTCAGTTTTCTATTTTCTTCTTCACCCGATAAAGTCGTCCTCCACGAGATTTGTGCCCCTTTACCCTTGTGATGCCATTTAAAATCCTCTAAATTATTTTTAATTTATCGGAAACAAGCTAATTTTAGCAATTAAATGGACCTTTTATGTTATGGTTTCATCGCAAATAACTGAGCTTAAAACTTCAGTCGACGTGCCAAGTGGTTTTCCGTAAGCTTCTGTCACGTGTGTTGAAATTTGGGCGAGTTTAAGGCAATGAGGTATACAGGTGTTTGTTCAACCCTTCAGTACAATTACTGAGATTTATCAACTGTCGAGCACAGTGTTTGGGCTAACCTGAACGCTATTGTAAGGGTAACCGTTGTGCCATTTCGTCATTTCATGTTTTAAAAACGCCCTTGAAAATTTGTTTGCTGGTTCACATGGCTTGGAATGTTTCTTTTTTACTTTTTTTTCTTATTGAACGTCAGTCAGCTTAAGGACAACTTGTAGAGCGTGGAATAACTTTTTTTTATATAAAGTTTCTTTTTCGGTGTTCTGCGGTTCAGGAAGAAGCCCTGAGCGGTATGCCCTCAGCAGTTCTTCAGAATAATGAATAATACAAATGCTCTTAGCTTTCGGATTTCCGAGCCGTGCTGGTTGGAAAGATAACTTAAAAAATATATTTTAGCAGTCACTTTCCACTCTGACTGCGGATATGTCCCAGATCTCACGGCACGCTATATTTCGTTATGAATGCAGAAAGGGTAACGAAACTCGAAAGATTGTGTTTGCTTTCCACTTTCTCCCATTTTGGCGACAGGGATTGCTGATTCTACAGGGATTGCTTATTTCCTCTGGTACAATTCCAAAATGATTCGATATAAAAAGGTATTAGCTGTAAGAGAATTTCATTTAATGAAATATTAAGCGGTTGAGAAGACGAGGGCAACGCCTTCCTTGACAACTACAGAAACGCCGGCAAGAAAGATGCGCCGACACTCCGGGACTGGGTGTGTGACGTCATCCACCCAGGTCCCGGTTGATCAGGTGTTGATTCATTTCGTGGTCGGGGAAGTGAGGTTTGCCTAATCGCAGGTTAACGTCAATTCCCGCCTTTTTTCCACGCATTTTTAAAAAGCGGTGACCTCCGCTGCCCTCATTCGCCCAGTAATGTTATCAACAGTAGACTCCAGTCTATCTTGGTCTTATCATAAATAATGTAATTGATTTAGCCATTTTTTCCCCAAGCAACGTTCAGTAATTCATTTCGTATTTATATCTATTATTGAAGCGACCTTTGGGGAAATTAGCTGATCACTCCAACACTCTTTGTTTGGTTGCTTCTCTTTTTATTCCCACTATTGATGACTTGGGTACAATACTCACAACGTTCTCTTACTTGTTGCTCTTGACTGGTTACAGCAATTACTACAACTACAAGGAGCTAACTCGTC